GGGGATGGGAAAGGGAAAAGGGGATGGGAAAGGGGAAAGGGGATGGGGAAAAGGGAAAAGGGGATGGGGAAAAGGGGATGGGGATGGGATGGGATGGGGATGGGGATGGGGATGGGGATGGGGATGGGAACGGGAGGGAGGCAGTAGGTGGTTCCGGGACTGGGGATGGGAACGGGACCAGGACCAGGGATGGGAGCGGGACCGGGGATGGGAACGGGACCGGGAATGGCAACTTGAGTGCCACCAGCTCCTCGAGTGCCACCAGCTCCTCATGTCACCAAGAGTCCCCCAAGTGCCACCAGCTCCCCAAGTGCCACCAACACCCCAAGTGCCACCAGGTCCTTGTGTCACCAAGAGCCCCCCAAGTGGCTCCAGCCCCCCAAGTGCCACCAGGTCCTTGTGGCACCAGGAGCCCCTTGGGTACCACCAGCCCAATCACCGAGCATCGCTTGTACCTGTTTTATTGCTATAAATTCTTTTTAATTTTACTAAAAGTTTATTTTTAAAATTTTAACTTTTTTTAAACTTTTTTTTTTTTTTTAATTTTTGCCATCTTGCTGGCAGTGCCTTCATTCCCCTCTTTCCATCCAAATCTCGCGATATTTCGCCCGAAGCCGCGACGCCATCTTTATTCCGGGCACTTTTGCCCTTAACACACCGTTATTTTCCCCCGCCTCTCGGTGAAATCTCGCGATATTTCGCCTTGAAGCCGCGCCGCCATCTTTGCTACGGGCGGATTTTGCCCTTCTGCCGCGCCCCGCTTCTCGCGGGAAATCTCGCGAGATCTCGCCGTGCCACGTTCCCGGGCTTTTGGGGGTACCGGCGCCTCCCCCAGAGGTTTTTGGGGGGAGTTTTGGGGGTTTTGAAGGGATTTTGGGGTGTTTGGGAGGGGCTGAGGGGCTGGCAAGGGTCAGAGGAAAGGATTGGGAGGGGTATTGGGGAGGCGGGGTGGGGGGTTGGGGGGTCCTGAGGGGGCTTTGAGTTGATTCGGGGTGTCCTGAGGGGATTTGGGGTGTCCTGAGGGGACTAGGGGAGGGTTTAAGGATCCTGAGGGGATTTAGAGATGCTGAGGGGATTTGGGGGATCTTGGAGTGACTTTTGGGGTTCCTGAGGGGGTTTTGGGGGATCCTGAAGGGATTTGGGGGATCCTGAGGGGATTTGGGGAGGGTTTAGGGATCCTGAGGGGGCTCTGAGGGATTTTGGGGTGCCCTGAGGGGATTTTGGGTTCCGTGAGGGAATTTTGGGGATCCTGAGGGAATTTTGGGTGCCCTGAATGGATTTTGGGTGCCCTGAGAGAATTTTGAGTGCCATGAGGGGGTTTTGGGGAACCTGAGGGGATTTTGGGGATCCTGAAGGAATTTTGGGTGCCCTGAGGGAATTTTGGGCACCCTGAGGGGTTTTGGGGTGTCTTGAAGGAATTTTGAGTGTCCTGAGGGGGTTTTGGGGATCCTGAGGGGGTTTTGGGGGTCCTGAGGGGGATTCTGAGGGAATTTTGGGGGTCCTGAGGGGATTTGGGGTAATTTTGGGGAACCTGAGAAAATTTTGGGTGCCCTGAGGGGATTTTGGGTGCCTTAAATGGATTTTGGGTGCCCTGAGTGGATTTTGGGGAGATCCTCAGGGGATTTTGAGTGTCCTGAGGGGATTTTGGGGATTCTGAGGGAATTTTGGGGGTCCTGAGGGAATTTTAGGTGCCCTGAGGGGATTTTGGGGATCCTGATGGAATTTTGGGTGCCCTGAGGCGATTTTAGACATCCTGATGGGGATTTTGGGTGTTTTTGGAATTTTTTTGGGGCGGCGGGGAGTGGATTTGAAAAACTCTTTTAAATCCTCATTTTTTTTTATTTTTCTTTCTCTTCCAGGACCACCCCCCCCCAAAATTTGCCCCCCTCCTCCCATGGGGCTCCCCCTCCTCATCCTCACCCTGGGGGTGCTGCTGGGGCTTGGGGAGGGGCACCAGGACCACCCCCACCTCTATGGACCCCCCAAAACCCGCCCGGACACCGCCCAGGTGTGGCTGCAGGTGAGAAAAATACCCAAAAAACCACCCAAAATATCCCCCAAAACAGCCCAAAATCCTCCCTAAAAGTGGACCTAAATATTCCCAAATTATTCCTGAAAAACGGCCTTAAATTGCTTAAAAATGTCCCAAAATATCCAGAAGTTTTTCAATGAAACGTCCTAAAATTCCTCCTCAAAAATGCCTTAAAATATTCTCCAAAAATAGCCTAAAGTGGCCCAAAATACACAAAAATCACCCCCCAAAAATACCCTGAAATATTTCCTAAAAATACCCCAAAACACCCTAAAATCCCCAAAAAAATGCCTCAAAATGCCCCAAAATACCCAAAACCCCCCCTAAAAATGGACCAAAATATTCCCAAATTATTCTCGAAAAATGTCCTGAAATTGCTTTAAAATATCCCAAAATATCCTCAAGCTTCTCAATAAAATGTCCTAAAATTTACCCCCAAAATGGCCCAAAATGGCATAAAATATTCTTCAAAAATAGTCTAAAATGGCCCAAAATACACGAAAATTGTCTAAGAAAAATACCCAAAAATTCTCCCTAAAAAATGCTTCAAAATGGCCCAAAAATGCCTCAAAATACCCAAAAAAATACCCTAAAATAACCTAAAATCCCCAAAAAAATGCCTCAATATACCCCAAAAATGCCCCAAAAGAGCCTAAAAATGGCCCTAAATACTCCCAAATAATTCCCAAAAAATGTCCTGAAATTGCTTAAAAATGTCCTAAAATATCCTAAAATTTCTCACTAAAATTCCTCATAAAAATGCTCTGAATTGGCCAAAATGCCTTAAAATACTTTCTAAAAATAGCCTAAAATGGTCCAAAATACATGAAAAAAAATCTCCTTTTTATGCCCCCAAATTACATTTTTGTGCCTGAAATTCTCATTTTTTCACTCCCAAATTCCCATTTTAACCCCCCAAATCCCCATTTTTCCCCCTAAAATTCTCATTTTTACACCCCAGATTCCCTTTTTTTCCCCCAAAATTCCCTTTTTGTGCCCCAAAACCCCTTTTAACCCCTTCAACCCCATTTTAACCCCTTCAGCCCCAATCTCCCCTCTAAAATCCCCATTTTAACCCCTAAAATTCTCATTTTTTCACCCCCAAACCCCCATTTTTTTCCCCAAAATTCCCTTTTTGTGCCCCCAAACCCCTTTTAACCCCTTCAACCCCATTTTAACCCCTTCAACCCCATTTTAACCCCTTCAACCCCAAATCCCCCCCTAAAATCCCCATTTTAACCCCTAAAATTCTCATTTTTTCACCCCCAACCCCCGTTTTTTTTCCCCAAATCCCCGTTTTTCACCCCAAATTCCCCATTTTTTCCCCCCCAGACGATGGGGGCGGCCCTGGGGGTGTCCCTGGCCCCCCACCTGGTGCTGCTCCTGCTCCCGGCCGATTCGGGGTCCCCCCGGCGCCGGGGGCTGCTGCGGCTGCTGCTGAGCTTCGCTGCCGGGGGGCTGCTGGGCGACGCCTTCCTGCACCTCATCCCCCACGCCCTGGGTCTGTCACAGCCCCAGCACGGTTTTGGGGCGATTCGGGGCGATTTTGGGGCAGTTTGGGGGGATTTTTGGATAATTTGGGGGAGGTTACGTGGTGGTCCCGAGGGGGTTTGGGGGGGGTTTGGGGTGGTTTTAGGGGGGTTTTGGGACACTCTGGGGTGATTTTGGGACACTTTGAGGTGATTTTGGGACAGTTTGGGGGGATTTTGGGAGAATTTGGGGTGATTTTGGGACACTTTAGGGTGATTTTGGGACATTT